GCAGGAGGCCGATTCTCCTAGAACCTCCAGAAAAGAGTGCAGCCCCTGAGGCTATCTTGATCTTAGCCTTGGGGCCCACACCTTTGAAGACACTATGACATAGAGTTTGACCATTACCCACATGCAGGGTAACCCACAGGGAACCCACGACACGAGTTTTATTTTATTTTATTTTATTTTTAAAGATTTATTTATTTATTTGACAGAGAGAGACACAGCGAGAGAGGGAACACAAGCAGGGGGGAGTGGGAGAGGGAGAAGCAGGCTTCCCGCCGAGCAGGGAGCCCGATGTGGGGCTCGATCCCAGAACCCTGGGATCATGACCTGAGCCGAAGGCAGACGCTTAACGACTGAGCCACCCAGGCGCCCTACGTATATATTTAAAGATGGGTGATTTGGGAGCATGTTTATGGTGATGATGATCCAGAACAGAAGAGACTGACACGTTAGGAGAGGGATCAGCAAAAGATCAAAATCTTCGAGACAACGTAAGGGGCAGACTGCGGGGCTCAGGTGCAGGGCGAGGCTTCGGGCAGGAGGAATGAGTGCAGATGGAGGCAGGATTGCCTGGTTGGTGGAGGGATGAGGGAGTTGACGTCCGCCGCCTTCAACTTGCTCAGTGAATCATGTAAAGGGCAGAAGAAAGGTGTGGAGGGTTGAAGGCATAATGGCTGATGTGCCGAAAGAACAGCAAATGTATCAGCGAATCAAAGTAGATCCTCTGGTGACGCTGTGTCTCTTTGAGGCTGACAAGCATTAAAGTGAAACCAGCCCAGTTTTTTTTTCCCCCCAAAGATTTTATTTATTAGAGAGCAAGTGAGCACAAGCAGGGGGGAGGGGCAGAGGGAGAAGCAGGCTTCCAGCTGAGCAGGGAGCCCGATGCGGGGCTCGATCCCAGGACCCTGGGATCATGACCCGAGCCGAAGGCAGATGCGTCACCAACTGAGCCACCCAGGCGCCCAGCTGTGTGGTTTTCTTTCAGAAATAGTTACTTCTTAGGTGCAGGGAGGAGGCAGATGGAAGGGCTCGCCCAGGCTTTGCGTCTTGAACGGGAAAGTGCCACCAAGGGAGAGGACACAGAGAAGAGGGCGTTCGGAAGAGAGAAACAATAAAAACAAGACTCGGTGACAGCTTGGTCAGGCTATGAGCCAACTGGCGGACAGATGCACCGTTTGATGAGGCCAGGGAATTAGGACTGGCGGGTATTTCAGGAGCTGAACTGGAAATGGTGTTCAGCAAGCTCTGGATTGTGTCGCCTGCAAGTCTGCCCGGTTCCCTCTGGCATCTTCAGCTCCTGCTGTGCTGTGTGTGGTCAACAACTGTGGAACTGAAAGTGGCCTGGAGAATCGAGGTCTTGGTCTGATTATGACGCTCATGTCCCACCTCCCCTCTGCCGCCGTCTTGGATCGCTCTGTTGGGGAATGAGGTCCACAGATGAAGCTTAGCAGCTGAAAAGCGTGCCTATTGAAAAGTGCAAATGACCAGAACTGGGGCAGAAACTCAAACCGTACACAGGCAAGACTGTTCAAAACAATTTTATTTGTTCCTCCGTCTTGTTTCTTGTGAGACAGGTGAGCTCACTCGCTCTCTCCGGGTCGGCTCTTCCTCCTTCACGTCCTCCCAAGTACAGACTGTATACACCCTTTCCCCTTTTCAGACTCTAAATTGGGGTCGTCCGCTTGACAGCTCAGCCCTCACCTTCGTGGAGCTGACAAACCCGCCTCTCGAAGGCTGCTTGCCTGTCCTCCTCGAGCCACAGGGGTCTCCGGACAGCCTGCACAGCCCAAAGCAAACTCACAGTTTCCCTGCACAATCTTCTCTTTTCCTGGACCTGCACTTGACGCACTTGACATATACAGTCTACTACCCTACCTGTCTTTTTCTTCCACAGTCCAGGACTCTTAGATGTAAAAACAGTGTTTGGCAAAGGCTAACATTTGTACAGTGCACTTTTTTTTTTTTTTTGAGGGGCGAGGCATGGAGATATCGATGAGAAAAAGTTACAAAAATAGAACTTGTACAAAAAGTACACAAGTTGGGCGCCTGGGTGGCTCAGTTGGTTAAGCGACTGCCTTCGGCTCAGGTCATGATCCTGGAGTCCCGGGATCGAGTCCCACATCGGGCTCCCTGCTCAGCAGGGAGTCTGCTTCTCCCTCTGACCCTCTTCCCTCTCGTGCTCTCTCTCAAATAAATAAATAAAATCTTTAAAAAAAACCACAAAAAGTACACAAGTTTATTGGGCAAGATTCATAGCACAATTACCCACTGTCAACACACATCTGTGGGTTGCTTCCTCAGAGTGCCCTTCACCCCCTCTGCTAACGGGACTCTGATTTTTCCACTGGGGTATTTACCTTCTCAGCCACTCCAGGCGTGCTGTGCCAAATCCCAGCTCCAGAGCAGAGCCCAGACTGGCTGAACAGTCCTATCTTCCTGGCTCCAGTGATGGTTCAGAGCTGGGCACAGGCTCTAATTTGGGCACTGGGAGCAAAACCCGGGACTTAAGCAAGAGCAATTGGAAGAGACCTTTTGTCCTTCCTCTGAAGGGGGAGCAGGTCTGCTGAAGCATGTGACTATGGGAAGGGGCCCGTGTGTGTACGGAAGATAAAGTGGACAACGGCGAAGGGGGAGCAGAAAATCCGCCAGAAACCCCATCTTTGGTGACCACAAGTAGCTGCGTCAGTCCTTACTTGGACTTTCAGCCTTGAGAGTGTCCGGATTCCTTAGATCCATGTGGCCATTTCCCGGCACTTGCAAATCCAGAGTTCTACCCTATAAATTCACAATCCCACTGCCCCGAGAGAAACACTGTCGACATTTTGGGTTTAATTTCTCCCACACGTTTTAATGCATCTACGTATATACCATTTCCTTTATTTTCTTTGACAAAACTGAAAATACTCTTCTGAAATATTTTAGTTGATAATATTGTTTACATCTTTTTATGTTGACCCAAACTATCACAATCATTTTTAACTATTGGATAATATCCTATTCTAGGAATATACCATAATTTAACAGATTCCCATTAAGGAACATTCACATTTTTGTCTGCTTTTCAAATCATGAATGTGCTATTCTTACACATGAGTTCTTTTATTTCTGAAAAGTGAAACCACCTTATCTCTATAAGTGAAATTGCTGGGTCATAAAATATTCTTTTTTTTTTTTTTTTTAAAGATTTTATTTATTTATTCATGAGAGACGGAGAGAGAGAGAAGCAGAGGGAGAAGCAGGCTCCCAAGGAGCAGGGAGCCCGATGCGGGACTCGATCCCAGGATCCTGGGATCATGACCTGAGCCGAAGGCAGACGCTTAACCATCTGAGCCACCCAGGCGCCCCCCATAAAATACATTCTTAAGGCTTTGATGTATTTCAGCGGATTGTCCTCCAAAAGGAACTTTCATTCTCGTCAGCATGGGGACAGGTATGTTCGATGGATAGGAGGTGACGGAAGGTAAAATACCTGCTAAGAAGACATATCCACTTGTTTGCTGCATATTTACTGAGTGTCTCTTATGCGTACAACACTGTGACAGGTGCTGGGGATATGCTGGTGACCAGCCTCCTAGACCTGTCTCTGTATTCTTCCCTCTCCAACTATGGCAGCTTTGGAAAAATGTCTAGCTTTGTGGATGAATTAACCGACAGCGCACACATCATGATGTGAGATTAATGGCATCAGAGAGAACACTCAGGAGACGGTGGAGTCCAGTCTTGGCACAGATGGTGACATCGCTGCACGGGGCGTTGCTCACCCACAGCTTCCTTCCACGTTCATGTGTGGCCAGGAGCCTGGAACGCTCATGCCCCGTGCAGGGCAGCGGGGGCCACAGTTACCCAGGGCTCGGGAAGTCAGCCTTTCCGTGTGCGCTCTCGATCCTATTAACAATTTTGTAACCTAAATCCCTACATTAAATTCTTCTCTGTGTGAAACACCTAGAGTGGTTTTGCTTTCCTAATTTGATGGAATAGGCCAACATGTAAATTATCCTTGAAATTCTGTGAGGTGTGAGCTGTGCCTTAGACCCACTTGGCATCTTTCCATACATCTAACAGAGCCAGATTTCTCTGGACGCAGTGGAAGAGACTGCTGGGTTTTTTTTTTTTCCCCCAATGTATTTATTTTATTAAGATTTTATTTATTTATTTGAGAGAGAGAGAGAATGAGAGATAGAAAGCACGAGAGGGAAGAGGGTCAGAGGGAGAAGCAGGCTTCCTGCTGAGCAGGGAGCCCGATGTGGGACTCGATCCCGGGACTCCAGGATCATGACCTGAGCCGAAGGCAGTCGCTTAACCAACTGAGCCACCCAGGTGCCCATGAGACTGCTGGGTTTTTGTCTTGGATTTTGTTTTTTTTCCCAGCTGGAACACCAGATGAACTCAGTGACTGCCTTTGAGAACGCATCTTGTATGCAAAATAGATATCCTTAAACACCTGACTCCCTCAGGAAGATGAGATCCGCACACGGAGGCAGGTACATGCAAATGGAAGCCAGGCTGAGAGACCAGCAGATCCACGGCCCCCTGCGAATGCTTATCTAGAACTCACATACCCTGGGCACACAGAGTGACAACTGGGAAAACAGAAAGCAAACTGGCACGCGTGCCTGACTACAACTGTCAGGGTTCCCATTTTTGGGGAGTGTGCGTGTGGTGAAATCCACAATGAAATGTTCACGGGATGGGACTCTCCCTTCTGCTGCGAGAGGGACTTGAGATACTGCTGTTCTACAGAAACTGCCAGCTGGGCTTATCTTCAATGGTCCAGCGATAGCAAATCAACTCTGGATGCTCCTCTTTCTTTGCGCGCGCGCACACACTAGAGTCTGAATGGGTGAATTGCTTTGGGAGGCTCCATAATACGAAGTAGCGTAGACGTCCCCTTCCTTTGGCCATGGCCCCTCCTCTACTAAACATCAGTACTGAAAGCAGCGTCTCTGCCCCATGCACAGAAATACGACCAAACCTGGAGAGGGGGCCAGACACAGCACTGTCCCCTACCTCTTCTCCCCGCCTTCTCCCTCACTGTCGTCATGATAGAAGATGTCTCTGAACCGGAAGGCCTGCCTGGGGGTCGCGGGACTCTGGATTTCGGTGCCTGTTTTCTCCACCTTCTTCTCTAACTTTTCCTTAAGCAGAGGCAGGGTGGTCTCGTAAAGGTAGTCTATAATCTCTAAAGAAAAGAAATGTAATTTTGACATCATTTGTACAAAGCCTCCTTCCCAAGGTCAAAGGGCAGAGGGCACGGATGTGGGTGGCCCACTGCTGCCATTACTATGTGCAGTGGTCCTGTTCTAACTGGTTTACTTGTATTCACCAGTCTCCCAGAATCCTAGGAGGAGGGCATTACTATCAGCCCATTATTCAAATGAGGAAACCGAGGCCAAGAGGCATTATGAATCATGGCCAAGACCATGGAATTTGTAGGGGCAAACGTAGTCGGGATTCAAACCCAGGCAGTGCTACCTGCTAAGTGTCAGAAGTAGTCATCACACAGTCCAGGGCAAAGCATCACCCAAACTCATGGTTCACGAATGCTGGTGCTGGGCAGACCGTTTGAGGCTCTCCTTGAGTCTTTTAGAGAAAATCTAGCCTCCAGACGCAGCCTGGAGATTAGGATTCGGTATGTATGGGACGCGGTCCAGGTATGTATGTGTTCAACAAGTTCCCCCAGAGGACTCTGATGATCTGAGTTTGGGAATACCGAAACCACCCACAAATGGCTGCAGAGAAGGAACTGGGCATCTTAGGTTTGTTCTGGAACTGTTTGTGCACGCGTGTGCACGTCAGTGTGTGACGTGTGTGCACATGATGGCGATCCAGGAGCACTCAGTTATTTACCGAGTGCTGGCCACGCACCAAGCACCCTGCTGGCCATGGTTCATCTGTCTATTATCTCATTCAGAACTTCTGAAAGTCCTGTCAGATGGGGATGAGCAGGTGATAATCTCTCCCATTCTACAACCAAAGAAACCGAGACTCCCAGAGTTAAGTCATGCATCTGAGGTCACACTCCCAGCACGTGGCACCACCTGCTGTGTTCTCAACTATTTAAATATTAGAAATACTGACCTGGAAAAGTCTTCTTCTGCCAAAAGGGAACACAGGTAGCTTTCAGCTTATAAAATTTAGTTTGAACATAAGACGGAGGAACATCACTTTAGAAAGGAAAAGATAAAAAAAAGTTAGCATCAGTTTAAAAACTGGTCATTTCACTACTGTGTACGAAGTACGCCGACTCAGGAATCTACAGATATCAGTAACTTTCCTTATCCTGAACAGGAAACCACGGTGTCCACAGATGTGTGACAAAAATAAGACACATATGAAAAAGCTATTGTTCATTTGGGTAAAAAGAACACACACAAAAGAAAGAAAGTGAAAAGCACAAGACAGATCCTGTTTAAATTACAATACTAACATAAGCTGATGCTTACCTTGTACTTGGCCCTGCCCTAAGGGCTTCCTTTCTAGCCACAAACAATCCACACAGCTGCTCTATGAGGAGCTACCACTCTTGTGCCTCATTCTGGAGATGGGGAAACTGAGGCACAGAGAAGTGGCCCAAGATCTTACAGCTAATAAGGGGTAGAGCTGGGACTTCAACTGGGTGGTCTGACCCCAAAACCCACACTCCACCACTTCACTTAGGATAAATGCCTATTTGTCACAATCCAAAGGCAGATGTCCCCTGATTTTTTATTTTGCAAAGCTAAATAAAGCAAGATGTTCATGATGTTTTGGTGAGTCAAATATATTTTCAATTTACAGTAAGGAGGACAGACACACCCAAATCTTAATTGTTTTTTTAAAGTGAAAATCTCTAACTTCACTTCCTGGCCACTTTTTCTTAGATGATAAAAGCAGGACTTATTTCAATAATTAGTTAACCTAGTAGTTAAAATAATTAGTGTGAATAAGTTTACTCTTACTGGGTTCTTCTTCACAGCAACCACTAGCTAGGTGCTCACTGTGCGTCCGTCCTGAGCTATGTGTCCTCCATGCCCGATCTCCTTAGTCCTCGTTATGGTCCTATTAAACCATTTTGTGGATGAAGAAACTGAGGCTCAGACACAAGTTAGGGAACAACGTGCCCAAGGACGGCTAAATAATGAGTACCAGGAGTCACCACCAGGTCAGTCTGACCGTAAAGGCCAAGTTCTAAGGCCCCCATGCCTTCCAACTCTTCCTGCAGTGTCGTGAGTCCTGTGGGGCGTGCTGCAGACCCAAGCTAGGGTTTGGAGAAGTCACAATAATGGATCTGGACATTTTCTTTTCTTCTTTTTTAAAGACTTTATTATTTATTTATTTATTTGAGAGAGAGAGAGAGAGAGAGATAACAAGAGCAGGAACACAAGCAGGGGGAGTGGGAGAGGGAGAAGCAGGCTTCCTGCCGAGCAGGGAGCCTGATGCGGGGCTTGATCCCAGGACCCTGGGACCACGACCTGAGCCGAAGGCAGATGCTTAATGACTGAGCCCCCCAGGCACCCCTGGATCTGGACATTTTCAAACCAAGTAGGCATTACATCTCATTAGGTGGACATGCTTTCTTGACATCCTGCCTAAATAATTCACACAAGGGAGACTTTAAGACTCCGAAGAGACTGAACTTCTGAATTTATTTTTTTTTTCTGTTAATTATTAAAACTTGACAATGTACGATTTCAAACAGTATTTGACTAGATACCATAATCTCCGTTTCATGAGATTTATCAATCTTAAGTGAAACAATGTGTTCTTAAATATATAATTTTACTTAAAACCATTAAAAGCCCATTTTAATTTAAGAACTTGTGATCTGAAGCAATGTCACAAAATATACAAAAATTTACTGGAAAAGTCCAATTTTTCAAAAATTGGACTTCTCTCTCTGTCAAATAAATAAACTTTGCTATTACAAAGGGAGGGCTTTGCAGCCATGGGTGCTTCTCAAGATGGGAGTTGGTGGGTCCAGAGCAAGGTCCCCTCTTTCAAAGTACCTGCCACCCTCATCTCTCTGGGACCCATGATTCTGAGCAGTGGGTACCCCACCTCTCACTCAGGTCACCTGGAAAAGGGAAGGGTTTGGAACCATGAGCATGTCTGGCTCATGACAAACTTCCCATTCTCCAAGTTATGAAAACCATACTGATTGTTCTTTTTTCCTTGTCCATGATCCCAAGGTGCAAATAACCACCAGAACCAGTTTAAACCCTTCCTCGTGGATCAAGGATGGCGTCACACTTTTGAAAGTCAGCCAGGGGGCAGCCGCCCTGCCCCACCGTCCACCTTCCAAAACTAAAAGCCAAAGTGGTGGCCTCTGTCTTCGGTAGCAGGAAGGGATTCAAAATGTAAGGATGCCACACGGCACAGACACGGCAGAAGCAAAAGGAGGTAGCTCACAAACAGGGAAGTTCAACCTCACCGCCCCCCCGGATGAGAGATGCAAATGAAGCTGCACCGAAAGTACCAAGTACTGGGGGAGCTTGAAGAGGAACAGGATCTTTACATGGTCTCAAAATATCTCCCACAGCCCCTTCTTATCCCCAAGAGAACTGGTACTTCATACGGTGGGGGAACGCGGCAGATGCCACCGGAGCCAAAGGAGCAAAATCAGAATCATGGGCCTCACAATGTAGCGTCACCTGTGTCATAATCCTGCCTAAAGTACAAGACCCGACCATGAGGAAGCACTGGACAAACTCCAACGGAGGGTCAGTCTCCAAACAAATGGCCTGTGCTCGCCCACATTTTCAATGGCATCAAAGACAAAGGCAGAAGAGCTTTACTGATCAGAAGCCAGTGAGGAGACAGGACAGACAGACAGACAGACAGGAGCTGGAGTGGAGCTGGACTGGATGGTAAATCGGGGGGAAATGCTATAAAGGACATTACTGGGATGAGACGCGTGGGTGGCTTAGTTGATTGAGCGTCTGCCTTCAGCTCAGGTCATGATCCCGGGGTCCTGGGATCGAGTCCAGCGTCGGGCTCCCTGCTCAGTGGGGAGCCTGCTTCTCCCTCTCCCGCCCCCGCAGTTGTGCTCTCTCTCTGACAAACAAACAAAATCTTAAAAAAAAAGGGCTTTGGTGGGGTAATTTGAATGTAAGCTGTGTTTTATCTTTTAAAGATTTTATTTATTTATTTGAGAGAGAGAAAGACAGCGAGAGAGGGAACACAAGCAGGGGGGAGTGGGAGAGGGAGAAGCAGGCTTCCTGCAGAGCGGGGAGCCTGATGAGGGGCTCGATCCCAGGACCCTGGGGATCATGACCTGAGCCGAAGGCAGACGTTTAACGACTGAGCCACCCGGGCGCCCTGAATGTGAGCTGTGTTTTAGAGCACAGTGCTGTACCGGCGTCTGATGTCCCGAATTTGGTCATTGCACTGTGATTATGCAGGATGATGTTCTTGTTTAGGGCACGCTGCCCGCCACTAACCCTCAAGTGGTTAAGGGAAACTACTCTATTCCCTTGGAATCGGGAGCAGGAGAGGGAGGGTGGACGGTAAGCAAACGTGGCAAACTTAAGAATTTATGATTTGGGGGCGCCTGGGTGGCTCAGTTGGTTGGACGACTGCCTTCGGCTCAGGTCATGATCCTGGAGTCCCGGGATCGAGTCCCACATCGGGCTCCCTGCTCAGCAGGGAGTCTGCTTC